TTGTAAATTATTTACTGTTTAGGTCTTTAGAAGGCATCACGAATTTCGCCAGTGTCGAATCAAATACATCAGTTGCATCATTAATCTTAAATTTTGGTTATGATGACATTGGAAAAACTATTGCTAACATTGCAGTTAATGATTTTGCTAAAAATTATCAAGGTAATAATTGGGGATATAATGGTCCTGGTGTTATTACCAGAGCACTCATGAAAATCTGCAATACAAGAGTGGTAAGTAGGTTACAAAATGTGCTGTAAAAACCACATGTGTAGATTGTGTATTGCACACAGACCCAGAGCCTCGTTCTATATTATGAGACTTCAATAGTTATTAAAAATAGTTACAACGCACACTTTCCAGTCACTACCAACGATAAGGCCGTCCAACTAAATATTTCCATAAATAACCATTCACAAACAAAATTATCAGTATTATAATTTTTATTAATAAAATTTTTTAAGTTCAGTTAAATCTGAGCACAGTTAAAAACTATTTCAGAACCATGAGGCCTAATTTCTAATTTAAGGCTGAGGCCTTGGGTAACTGCCCCTATTGCTCCCCTCGTGCCGTTCATGCTAAACAGAATACATTAAATTTAAATACACGTCACACGGGTACATGGATATTAAATAATATCGGGTATACAGACTCGTTTGCAAATAACAAATCATTATTTTATCTTTCATAGTAAAATATAAAACGAATAGATATTATTGTATTCAAATGTACAATACAAAACAAAGGGGGGGACTTCCCCCCTAAATACGCTTTGTTTGTCTTATTTGTATTAATAATTTGACAAGAAGCTAGGATTATCATTTAATTGTTTTACTTATACACCGCTTATAAAGTTCTCAAATACCTTTAAAATTCCTGTAAAACATTATTCTTTATAACATTTAAAATTAATTAATTCTGTTGAGTTACCATAAAAATGATAATTATACTATTGTATAATGTTTTAATTATAATGTTCAACTTATTATTTTTTTTTTAGATAACTAATATGAACAAACAAAACTGTAAAGGATTTATGGTTTATGGACAGGAAGCATTTTGCCCAATTCCGTGGACAGATTGGGCACTATATTTCAACTCAACTACTAGTGCTAAGGTAATGAATGCAATTGAGAACAGCATGGGAATTCATGTATGGAATCTACACAGTAAACATACACCTATTATAGTTGGATCAAAACAACCCTATGGATTAGTCGCTCAAAAATATTGTCCTGATATTTTTTCTTCGGCCAAAGATATATTTTAACTAATTTGAATCATACATTTTATTGTTATACATTAGATTATATTTATAGAATTAATTAATTTTAATGTGACAATATAATAATTATTTTATTGAACAAAACTTCAAGGTCTCTTAAGATACAGCTCCAAAGAATGTTCTGTTGACTAATGTTTCTCAATTTATTTCTTCGACACAATAAATATCCATAAATCAATGTGCACCTATTGAATAATGTCTATCATACAGGTTACAATCAAAATAAAGACAATGATAATATCCAAAGAAGATTAGTTATTTTTGTTACTAAAAAATTATTTCAAATACTTTTTCTTCTTCTCCTTCGCCTTTCTCCCAAATTTTTAGGGTCGGCCACCTTTTTCCTAAATCTCCGCTCGTTGCAATTTTCTACATCCCCTACTCACACACTAACAGCCTCATATCATTCTCAGTCGTATCCAATAATTTTTTTTTTTCCCCCAACATTAATTTTCATAACAACTCTTACTGTATTTGTTTCCTCTAGTCTCATCACATTCCCAAACCATTACAGTCTATTTTCTCTCATCTTATCCATTATAGACGTTACACCAATACTACCTCTCACATATTTGTTCCTTATTTTATTTTTTATTGTTACTCCACTCGTCCATCTAAACATTCTCATTTCCGCAACACCCATACTCTGTTCTATTTTCCTGTCAACCACCCATAACCATCTCTAAACCAAATAGATTAGTTGGGTCTCACTACACCTGTAAAATTTAACTATTAAGTTCATTGACATTTTCTTGTTGCATAAAACACCTGACGCTTTTCTCCATTTTATCCAATCCCATTTAATCCTATGTTTTACATCCATGCCAAAACCCCCGTCCTTTTATAAAAATGATTATGAATATTTAAAGTTCTCAACTGCACCTATCACATTACCTCTTATTGTCAGTGGTCTCCTCGTCCTCTCAACTTTTTGGTATCTTCCTCCAGTCATACTTTATATACTCTATTTTATTTCTACTAATTTTCAATCCCTAATCTCCACTCATCTATGTTAACTTATTATTAACTTCTTCCAGATTTTCTCCTACCAAAACTATATCTTCAGTAAATATTATACACCATGGTATCTCACCTTGTATCTCTTTTGTAACTTTAGTCATTACCACAGAGAACAAATAAAGGTTTAGAGCCAACCCCTGATGTACATCAACTCCTACATTAAAATCTATTGTTACTCCACACAAACCTTTGAACTAGTCCTCTGGCCTTCATACATATTCTTCCTGAATCAAATTTATATATATTTTTGGGACTTCTTTTCTTATAATTGCTTATTATAAAACTTCTCTTAGCACTCAGTCATACGCCTTTTATAAATATATATATTATATCAAATAATTATTAATTTTAGTAAATAGTGTTAACAATGTTTATACATTTTTGAGTCAATATACCGTCAATACGGGTGAAATGGAACTTGAGTGACTTGGAACACAATGAATTTTCTTTAATGAATTTGATAGAACTTCGATAGTTTTGACTATACATTGTTTATCTTTTCATGATATTTTATGTTGTTACATTTCCAATCAGAATCATTTTATCATGTTTTTTTATATTTCTTATCGTTAAACAGAAATCAATGTTACAAATTGTTATCATAAAAACACTTTTTTAATAGACCAAATTTAAGTCACCAAACTCATACTGTTCAAGACAAAAAAGAATGTGATTAATTTATTTTTTATATAATATTTAGGTTACCAATTGACTTATGTTATCATATGTACAAAGATGTTTTTAAAAACCCTATTTGTGTTCCAAGTAAAACGTATGGTAGGTTAAATGCCCCAAAACATTAAAAAATCCTTACTGTTTCATGTCACCTGAAACTCAAGGTGACTTGGAACATTCATTTTTTATTTATTTTTTAACCAAGTTATGGTTAAAATTCATTTTTTTTTT